GGTCCCAAATTTTGGGGTTCTGAGGGGTCCTGGGTGCGGTTCCCCCCAGGTCGGGTCAGTTTCTGGTCAGCGGTGACACCGACGGTTTTGTCACCGTGTGGGACACGCTGGCCCCGCCCGGGCCCGGGGACCCCCCCGAGCTGCCCCCCCTGCTCCGGTTCCGCGCCCTCCGCGACTGCGTCAACGGCACCAGGTAACGCCGGGGACCCCCAAAAAACACCTGGGGACCCCCAAAAAACACCTGGGGCACCCCAAAAATACCTGGGGGATCCCAAAAATACCTGGGGCACCCCAAAAATACCCGAGATCACCCCAGAAACACCTGGGGGACCCCAAAAACCACCTGGGGGACCCCAAAAATACCTGGGGGACCCCAAAAAATACCTGGGGGACCCCAAAAAACACCTGGGGGACCCCAAAAAACATCTGGGGGATCCCAAAAAAACACCTGGGGACCCCCAAAAAAATACCTGGGGACCCCAAAAAATATCTGGGGCACCCCTAAAAATACCTGGGGGACCCCAAAAAACACCTGGGGCACCCCAAAAATACCTGGGGGACCCCAAAAAACACCTGGGGGACCCCAAAAAACACCTGGGGGACCCCAAAAAACACCTGGGGCACCCCGAAAATACCTGGGGGACCCCAAAAATACCCGAGATCACCCCAGAAACACCTGGGACAGCTCAGAAAACACCTGGGGGACCCCAAAAAACAGCTGGGGGACCCCAAAAAATACCTGGGGGACCCCAAAAATACCTGGGGGATCCCAAAAAACACCTGGGGGACCCCAAAAAACACCTGGGGGACCCCTAAAATACCTGGGGGACCCCAAAAACACCTGGGGGACCCCAAAAATACCTGGGGTACCCCAAAAATACCTGGGATCCCCTAAAAAACACCTGGGGGACCCCAAAAAACACCTGGGGGCACCCCAAAAACACCTGGGGACCCCCAAAAACACCTGGGGACCCCCAAAAACACCTGGGGACCCCCAAAAACACCTGGGGGACCCCAAAAAACATCTGGGGGATCCCAAAAAGCACCTGGGGGAGCCCAAAAAACACCTGGGGGACCCCAAAAAACACCTGGGAGCCCTCAAAAAATCCCCGGTTTTCACCCCGAATCCCAGATTTCCCCCCCAAATCCCGAATTTTCACCCCAAATCCTGAAATTCCCTCCCCAAATCCCGAATTTCCCCCCCCAAATCCCGAATTTTCACCCAAATCCCAAATTTTCACCCCAAATCCCCAAGTTTTTACCCCAAATTTCCACCCTAAACTCCCCCAAATCCCGAATTTCCCTCCCAAATTCCGGAATTTTCCCCCCAAATCCTGAATTTCCCTCCCCAAATCCCCAAATTTCCCTCCCCAAATCCCGAATTTCCCCCCCAAATCCCAAATTTTCACCCCAAATTCCGGAATTTTCCCCAAATTCCGGAATTTTCCCCCCAATTCCCGCAGCCTGCACCCCGGGCTGCCTGTGCTGGCCACGGCCTCGGGGCAGCGCCTGTTCCCGGCGCCGTGGGACAGCGACGGTGACGGTGACGGTGACGGTGACGGTGACGGGGACGGTGACAACCGGCCGGCACCGGGGGGGGACATCCGGCTGCAGCTCTGGTGGTGGGGACCCCGCGGGGACACCGGGGACGGCGATTGTCACCTCACTGGGGACACCGGGAATGGCGATTGTCACCTCACCGGGGACAGCGGTTGTCACCTCACCGGGGACACCGGGGACAGCGATTGTCACCCTGCTGGGGACACCGATTGTCACCTCACTGGGGACAGCGGTTGTCACCTCACCAGGGACACCGGGACCGGCGATTGTCACCCTGCTGGGGACACCGGGACCGGCGATTGTCACCCTGCTGGGGACACTGATTGTCACCTCCTTGGTGACACCAGGACCGGCAATTGTCACCTTGCTGGGGACACTGGGACCGGCGATTGTCACCTCTCCGGGGATACCCGGGAATGGCAATTGTCACCTCCCCAAGGACACCGATTGTCACCCCCTTGGTGACACCAGGAATGGCGATTGTCACCCCCCTGAGGACACCGGGAATGGCGATTGTCACCTCCCCGGGGACACTGATTGTCACCTCCTTGGGGACACCGGGAACAGCGATTGTCACCTCCTCGGGGACACTGATTGTCACCTCCTTGGGGACACCAGGAATGGCAGTTGTCACCCCCCTGAGGACACCGGGAATGGCGATTGTCACCTCCTTGGGGACACCAGGAACAGCGATTGTCACCTCCTTGGGGACACCCAGGAATGGCGATTGTCACCGCCTTGGTGACACCAGGGACAGCGATTGTCACCCTGCTGGGGACAGCAATTGTCACCTCCTTGGTGACACCAGGACCGGTGATTGTCACCTCCTTGGGGCCACCCGGGAATGGCGACTGTCACCCCGCTGAGGACACCGGGAATGGCGATTGTC